TGTTATTGGGGGCTCTTACAGCTCTTATCACATCCCATACATCAGTTGTATCAAGCATATTTGTACATCTGTTGCCATCATCATTTCCAAAACATTTTCTACTTGAGCCCTTGGTAAAGCTCCTCTTTTTCCTTCTCCCTCCTTCCTCCACCCTCTCACCCTTGTGAATCTTTGATCAATTATTTATTGTTGTTATTATTTCATGTCTTACACTGTCCATTGTCTCCCTTCAGCCACATTTCTGTTGTTCATCCCCCTAGGGTGGGGGTGGGGGTTGAGATATATATATATATATTTCACCTTGTGATGGGTTCCCTCTTTCTCCACCTTCCCCCTCCCCAACCATCTCCCTCCCCTCATGATATAGCTACTCCCACTATGGCTATTGAGGGGTTTAATCTGTCCTGAATTCCATGTGTCCCAAGCTCTTATCTGTACCAATGTGTGTTCTCCAGTCTAGCCAGGTTTGTAAGGTAGTACTGGGTCATGGTAGTGGGGAAGGGGGGGCAGTGGAGTGGAGTGGAACTAGAGGAATGATGTGTGTTTCATCGGTGCTATACTACACCCTGGTTGAACCATCCCTTTTGTGCGGGGATATCCAATTATCTACAGATGGGCTTTGGGTCTTCACTCCAACCCCCCTTGTTTGCATCAATTTAGTTGTTTGTTTTGGATCTTTTGATACTGATACCTGATCCAGTCGACACCTCATGATTGCATTGGCTGGTGTGCTTCTTCCATGTGGGCTTATTTGCTTCCCTGCTGGATGGCTGTTTATTTAACTTCAAGCCTTTAAGACCCCAGATGTTATATCTTTTGATAGCCAGACACTAACTGCTCTCTGAACCACATTTGCTTATGCACCCATTTTTCAACAGGGCTACTTTGTTCATTTAAGCATATGCAATTGTGTGCCAGGTGGTACTGATGGTAAGTACATTAGTGAACAAAACATGAAAATAAACATTAGTGAACCAAACATGAAAACAAACATTCCTACTCTAATTGATTATGGAGATGAGCAATTTAGGCAGAAGAAATATCAAGTATAGTGTTTTTAATGGTTTTATTGGCATGTAATTCTCAACACAATTCAGTAGCTCAGTCACATCCAGAAGAGTTGTCCAATCATCGCAGTCAGTTGTAGAACCTAAGTATGGTAGTCTGAGGTAGGAACATACTTGGTGTGTTTGAAAAGCAGCAAATATTTGGAAGAATCCTGTGAGACTTTTGCTTTTATTCTGTTTGTGATTAGAGGCCACTGAAGTTGTTTGAGTAGGCATGGTTTGATTTAGGGTAAAAAAAGGGAAATATAGTTTATATGTAACATGGCAGCAATTAGAAATAATAGTAGGCTTTAAATGTGGAAAAAGTGAATGAAAAAACTCCATGAATCTTTTGAAACCCTCTCATACATAGGCATGGCTTTCAGTTAACAGTTGTCACCCATGAAAACACCACCAGAGTTAAGATGCAGAATGTTTCTGTCATTCTCAAAAAGTTAACTGGTAGCTTTACATTTTCTCTTACTTCCACTCCCTGTTTTTGAAAACCCGCTGATCTGCTTGCTTACTCTTGTGTAGCATGTGCTACAATGATGTGTAGCTTCTGATCTACTATGGGCATTCTCAGATGCTTGTTTGCAGATGCTTATGTGTCATTTTCCAATCCCCAAAGACAAAGGTCTCCCACTTACATCACAGTCGATTTGTGTTGGGACTGTATCAGTGGAATCTAGGCATAATCAGTTTGTTGGCATTATATATTGAAGAAAAGGAGCATTAACCTTTTCCATGTATCGGACTGTAACGGCGGTAGTGAAGAACATGTCAGATTCTGTATAACCTTTGAAGACAGTGCTGACAATATTTTTTGATGGATTAGATGTCAGATTTGAAATTGAGAAAAGATGACTTCTAGCTTTCTGCCTAGGCAAATGTTGAGAATGTAATCATTAATAGAAGACTGCGGTAGGTAGATGAATGAGGGATATTGAACTCAAATTCGGATACATTAGAGGTTGGTGGCTTTGACAAAGGCAGGTGGATATATGAATTTGGAGTTTAGAAGAGAGATGAGGCCAATAGATTGGAATGAGAGTTTGAACATTTGAATGGTATTTAAGATATGAGACTGGATGAGAACCTTGAAATTGAATGTAGACACAAAGGACAGTCATAGGGCTGCCAATATTTAATGTATTTAAGGAATACACGATCTCATGTAATGGAGCATGTACTGTCTGCATGTAAGGAAACAGTGATAATGGCAAAGTGATTAGAACAATGAAGCATCCCTTCTTTTTAAAAAAATCATTTTATTAGGGGCTCATACAACTCTCATCATATTCCATACATA